ATTTGGGCTCTGTTTGGGATTAATTGCCTAAAATTAGACAAATAAAAAGGACTGGATTATAAAAAATGGCTATCAACAAAACATAGTTCAACCAAGTCAATTGTTCTTTGCTTAAAATCCAAACGCAAGTTTTATTTATTTATTTATTAATCTTTTGGTATCCAAAAATCACGTCGGATCTTGACTAATTTAAAATTGAGTTGATTAATTTAGAGTCAAGTTGAGTTAGATCTCATATGAGAAAGCTCTTTTACTATTTATTTTTTCATTTACAAAACTCAAACTCAAAATTTTATTTTAAAAAAATCAAATTCCTTTCAATCGAACTAATAAGTCGTTGGCTAAACGAAACAAAAGTGAAAGTGTTAAAATATTACAAAGCAATTAATTGGAAATTAACCTTTATAATGGATTATGATGGATTCTAACTTCGATGCATGGTTACATAATTAGATTTTATTTTTTTTTTTGAACAAATTAATAAGGGGCTGGGTTGAACCCTAATCCAAAAAAAGGGAAAGTGCACCATGAGGTGGATATTGTCACGAAAGACTCGGTGCTACATAAATAGATCTTTTGGGCCCACCATACATAAATTAATATCGTATGATCCTGTCTTCTTTAGATAGACCTAGGTTACTTTGATTTCTATCAAGAGAAAGTGTGAACACTCCAAAGATATTGAAAGTTGAAAAAAAAAAAAAAATGCGGCTGCTTTTCTCCAAGCTACTTTCCCAACCAGACATAGAAGTTAGGTTTTCAGTTCCGATGGAAAGTCTAGACGCCTTTGAGTTCCCACAGGGAGAATTCAAGGTAAATTTCGAAGCGATAGACATCAAGGAGAAGCCATGGAATTTTCGTCTCACCAAAAGGCAGAAAGATGTCCATCCGAAACCAGTGCTGTCCGCCGATTGGCTCGCTTATGTGCAGGAGAAGCACCTCCAGAAAAACGATAAGCTCCTTCTCGGCGTTGAAGGTAAAGAGGCGAAGAAAAGGAGATTCCGAATTCATGCGCTGAGAAAAGCCTTCAGGCTTTACGGGGAGGACATTTGGGTTGACGTAGAGAAGTTGGAGGAAGACATCGTCAAGGGAGTTCCATCCACGAAATTTCTTCAATTGGATTAGAAGGTTCCACTAGGTACCTCATGACTCTGCTTTTTCAGTTAATTAGAGAAAAAAAAAAAAAAAAACTAGTTTCATCAACGAATGTTCTTCGATTGGATTGGAATCCATTTTCTTTGTAGTCTTCGGCCTTTTTGGTTTCTCTTTCATTCCTCTCCCTTGTACAGTTTCTCCTTTCCTTTAACCTTTAAGATAATGTTTCCTTCTCATCTTCTCCCT